CCCCAAAACCCCAAAACCCCAAAACCCCGCCTGGTAATGTGAAATAAAAAACAAGGTAAATAATTGTTAGAAAATATAGCGATATCACACAAATATGAAAGATTAACAATAATACTTGGGGACTCTAGCTAAAAATGTCTAGTCGCAAAAACTTGCTATGGCTAGAACTTCATCTCTCGACAGAATCTTGCAGGCTTTGTAAAAACCGAAGCAGGATGGAAGCCCGTACAATTCTAAAAACAGTAACCAATTATATAATGAGATTGCATTCGCAGATAATCAATTGCAAAAGAATTAGCTATTGCAGTAAAATTAAGCAATGCAAGGATAAGCTTTCTAGAATGCTAATCAAAAGGAGTAAAACAACTCATTAGGTTAGAACTATAATAATACACTGCAGGATAAGACAAACAGTTAAAATTCTATCACATATTAAATCACAAAGAGCAACTAGAAGCATAAGACTCTAGACTATTAATAGCTGCAGCAGTAGTAACTTTTTATGATGTAAAGTAACAGTAGGACACAGTTTAGCAATTAGCAATAGATCAATAACGGCGATGGTTAAACATTATTTCAAAGCATGAAGAACTCTATAAAGATCGTGCGTCCCAAGATGAAGGAAGGCATAGTATCGAATGGAATGGTAAAACAGTACTAGTCGCAGAAGCAACTTAACCCATATGTGCAACCAATCACCACTGCTTAGCAAGAGCTTGTATACATGAAAACACAATAAGGATTTTAGGTGTCTAAATTAAAGAATAAAAGTAATCCTTATTTGCGAAAGTAGAATGCAAGAGCCTTTTCTTAGTAAAAGCGGAAAATTCAGGATCTTTTGAATCATGTGTACAAGTCCAAATAGTAATAGAAATCGGGGCCTCAGAGTAGAAGCATAACACCTGAAAACCAGAGACCGTAGGGAAGAGAAAAAGCATAAAATAAGGATTAGAAGAAAAGCAACAAAGATCTGCAAATAGTTTCAGAAAACTAAGAGGAGAACTCTTAGTGCGAACTTTTGGATATTGAATAAATTCGAGATCTCAGGAGGTAACAGTCTCATTAGGACTAAAGAGGGGCATTCCACAAGACTTAGTCAATATCAACAACAGGGTAATCGATTTAGATTGGCAATAACCACTAAGAGTCAGGTGCAAATAATATCAATCCTCAGCAAAGTAGCAAAAAGTCAATCATATTAAATTCTAGGTCTCAAAGTGACAATGTACTTAAGATTTTTTCAAAGCCAAATATATAAGGAAAGTTTTTTGAAACTTTTAGCAGAGAGGGCTTCTTAAGTAATGAAGAAGGATTGAGAATTTAATAAGTTTAGATAGGCAATACAATGCAGAAAAGATAAATAAACATTGCACACACCAACATTGCCAATCAATTAAAACATCTGTCAGAGGAATAGAGACAGAGTGCTTTGAAATTTTTAACTCTCTAAAATACATTCCAAACTGTCAAGCCTTAGTCTTAAAGTTCAAATAACAGACCCATTAGATCAATTGCCTAATTCTAACCTTTGTCAACCCAAAATAAAACGAAAAATTAAGAGCCATTGATATCAGAAAAATAAGATCACTAGATGTTTGGAACAAGAATGTCTATTAAACCATAAGATAGTAAAAATCCCTAGCAGTCTAGAAACTCCTTAACCATTCACTCTTTGAACCCTCAAAGAACCAATTCTGGTTACAATATCAATGGAATTTATATTTAGAAAAATCCTAACACTAATAACTAAGATGAGCTAATAAGTTTAAATGAGTCTAGTATATGTTAAAACCTAGACGAGCCTACTCTGATAAAGGACGATGAGTCTATAATAGATTTCAATAATTTGCAGAAATAGATGACTAAGGGTCTTTAGCTAATAGAGTAAGGGATAAAGTTAAATTAGGGCTTGCCTAATACGAGACTCAAAGAAGAAATGGAGTTAAGAATGATTGTAGATATGATGGAGCACAAATTTAATTGAGTTTGATTTGTTTGTATATAAATAGCTAGTTAAATTATTATCTCGATTATAATATTATTACAGAAAAAAATGTATCAGCAAAATATAGGTTTCAAGATTGATTCAAAGACATCAAGAACCACTTCAAAAACATTGAAAATTTTATCAGGTGTGGCCCTTATCTCAGCCTTGGCTTTGTTTGGAGTATATTAATTTCAGGAAACTTTGATCGATTCTCATTACACTATAAATACATTTGATCAAGACATGTATTCTCCGATAATGAAAGAGTATATGAACTTTTTGGCTCAATACCAGAAGACTTATGCATCTATTCACGATATCAAGGATCGATACATGAAATTCAAAAGAAATTTTGAGGCGATAATGAAGCACAATGCAGATGAGGAGCAAACATTTGAGATGGGAATAAATGAATACAGCGATCTCACTGAAGAAGAATTTTAAAAGTAAATGATCTCAGGAGTTCTGATAAGACCCGAGCATGCTGCTAGAGTGAAATCACTGCCTGATCCTGATGAAGAGAAAATTCTGCTAAGAGGAGAGGCTAAGAATATTAATGTTCCAGATGAAGTGAATTGGTATAAAGAGGGCAAAGTTACTAGACCTTACAATTAAGCATCATGCGGTGCATGCTGGGCTTTTTCTGCAATATCAGCCTTAGAGTCATTAGCTCTGATTTCAGGCACTGTGTCAAGTCTCAAAGAATTATCAGTTCAGCAACTAGTCGATTGTGACGAAGTGAATTTCGCTTGTGGTGGAGGTTGGATGTACGATGCTTTTGCCTATGTCTTACATAATGGTGTTGCTTTGAACGATGGCTATCCTAGAAAATACTCTGCTAGAAGAATGGGCTGCAATTACAGACCAGCATAGTAAGAGTACTTTAGAAACACAGGAATGATAGAAGAGGACGGGAACACTAATCAAAGAATGAAAGAGTTAGTTAGTAAACAGCCTATATCTATTGCTATGTTCACTCCAGGCATGCTTCAAAGCTATAAGAAGGGAGTTGTGACTGAAGACTATTTAAAGTGCTCTTCTCTTAGAAATGAAGTTAATCATGGAATCCTCCTAGTTGGTTATGGCAAAGTAAAGCCAGGTGAAAAGAAGGTTAGAGGAAAGTGCCAAGAGTATTGGATTATTAGAAACTCGTGGGGAGGAAATTGGGGTGAAGAAGGCTTCTTCAGAATTTGCATGGATAAAGCTGGTGCTAAGGATAGGAAATACGGAGCCTGCCTGGTAAACAAATTCGCCACTTGGCCCAATATGGACGGTGAGATCATTGCTCCCACTGATTGATCAACCTCTGTAATCAAATTTGATTTGGAATTCAATAATATATCATCTTAATTGAGAAATCCTTGAAAGAACTTACGATTTTGATGAATGGGGTTTTGGGGTTTTGGGG